GATCAGAGGACTTTAGGTTACGTGCACATTAATTTAGCTATTTATAGCTTATTTGTAATTAGTAGATGAGATGGTGAGCTTATCGTTATGGCTACCAGGGGGTGGCGTTTGTTATTGATGATGTTATGCTAAGCGATTGTTGATAAGAGTGTGGGCTTTCTACGAAGCCTGAGGTGCTGTTTATTAGTACAATGGTATTTAAGGGCCTTTGGGATTTGTTAGTAGTGTCATCTTTCTTTTCGCTATCATTCACCTTGTATTAAGACTGGCTCTATTCCCTCCCATGCCCTCCCTAGGTGACATATCTGTCCTTATTGTATTTGTAATTGATTTTTGGTTAGAAAACCTGCTTTGGTAAGTAAGGAGAGGCACTGTAGCTGTTCGACAATGCAAGGTCCTCCTAGTTAGGCTCCACAGCTGCTTCGGCAGTGCAAGGACCACAGATTTAGGCTCCGAGGTTGCTTTGGCAGTGCAAGGATTATTGAGTTAGACTCCGCAGCTGCTTTGGACAGTGCAAGAACCTCATAATTAGGCTCCATGGATGCAATGGCAATGCAAGGTCCTATATAAAATAGAGAATGTTAAAGTTACCATTGTTAGTGCAATTTTATCATTATTACCCGATTCTCTTTTAGCTATGGAAGTTTGTATGATTGCTTCGTGCTTTGTACATTTTAGTGACTGTAAAGCTAGAAGATAAGGTCTCTGATTGTTTTTTTTCTTAGACTTTGTATGTTACGGTAGAGCCTTAAGATGTTGAACCTAATCCCCATATATGTTTTCATCGGATTAATAATAAAGATTAGCCTCCAATCGAGCAATAATAATATACAGTTTGGCCTGAATTTGAGCGTGCATTTAGAGAGTTTGTGCACTTATAGAGGGTGCACTTATGGAGGTTTTACTGTAATTGTAATATATCACTTGTTACTTATTTTATTCACAATTCTAACTGTATCTTCTATTTTGAATTATCAATTTGCACATTCACATAAGTTTTCTATTTTATACGTTAAACTTTATGAATATTTAACTCCATTTTATTAGTCTGATTTAGTGTATTGCATTCAAAGAACTTTTGTTAACCCAAGAATTTAAATAAAACATTAAATTGTATATTTAATTTGTTTTAATTTAGTGCATAATATAAGGAATATTTGTTTATTCAAGTATCTAAAATAAGCTACTTTATGAACACTTACTATTTAATTCAATTTTACTACATGATTGTTAAAATCATTTGTTAATCTAAATATTTACTAGATTTCAAATTTTTCGTGTTAATTTAGTTCGTGATATAAAGAGTTTTATTAATCCAAACATTTAAATAAACTATTAAACTTAATGATTATTTATTATTTAATTTCATTTATTTGCATTAATTTAATGGGCGTATAAAGACTTTCGTTAGTCAAAGAAGCACTTAAAATAAATCATTAAGCTTCATAAGTATTTATTATTTGATTTGATTTGATTTGCTTTAATTTAATGTGTTATATAAAGAACTTAAAATATGTATTATTAATTCCATCTTATTCATGCTGATTTAGTGCATTAAGTATAAAGTGCTTTTGTTAATATGATCATTTAAAATAATCCATTAAATTTTACAAATATTTACTATTTTATTCGTATAAATTGAATGTGTAATATAAATAATATCTATCTAAGCATTTAATATGTTATTAAATTCACAAACACTTACCAGTTTATTCGTTTTATTAATGAGCATAAAGGTTATTTACATTCAAATTTAAGAGCTGTATAAATAAAGATGGAAAATTATTGATTCGGCATATCAGGCCTTTACTTATTACGGTCAGGAAATTGCACCTGGTCACATTGCCGTAAATTGTTATAAGCTATGGCAAAATATGCCATAACCCATTACACATTACAATTATAGCAAGTTTATGGCATTAAGTTTTTACATCAAGGTTGACACAATTTCAAAGCTCGCTTTCTAAATCTTACAACATGAACTGCCGTTAATAGAAATCAAGTGGGTTAACATTTATATCTTGAGGAATGTTGAAAATTTAATAGTCAAGAGAAAGCTTAAGATTCCAGCTTTCATTTAGCTTCTAAATAATTGAAATAGCCTCAAAATTCATCGAGATATAAGCTATGAAAATTATATATATTTTTTAAATATTAGGATGTTTTCAAGCATCTCAACAAATGGGTCAAAGTATCATTCACGCTTGTAATTAAGATAAATAAGGTAGCTTATTACGTGAAAAAAAATTTAAATAGTAAAAAATGATTGGTGTGGTATCATTTTAGTCAAAAACATTTTCCCAAATCACTTTTTTTTTGCACTAACTTATCAAAACTTTATAACTATATATAAAGTGAATAAAGTATTGCTCAAGCGTTTTCATATTTTTTATTATGGATTTTCATTATTAACACATTTTTTGTAAATTTTTGATAAACTATTTAGAACCTTCTCAAACAGTGATTGAGATCTTTATTTTGGGATCCAATCCAACCTATTAACAATATCTGTCTACCATTTAAAAAAGCAATAAGAAAAATATCCTTATAAAATCAGGAATTAAAGATATGTGACCTGCTATTAATAAAAATTAGGCAGATTAAGGGTGTTCTCAAGTATCAACCTAGATACAATTTTAGTGATTAAAATTGTGCATAAGTATTATGAAGTAATTTTAGCTATTGCTATAGCATTTTATATAAAAATCAATAATACTAATTATGATATTATTGAGATATGCTCAAGCATTATTATTACTACGATAGAACAAAATAAAGATCTCAATCTCCGGTTGGGATATTCTATAGAATAGGTGGGCAATGTAAGAAACCAGCTTCGCTAATAATTAGGAATCATTAATTTTTTAATAGCGGAGTTGTGGAGTTTTCGAAGTTTGCCCACCTATTCTATAGAACGTCCCAAAAATTTTGTTAAAAATATTTACGATCTTGATTCAATTTTACTTCCTAACATAATTAAATCTCATTCCGGATATTTTATAGAATAGGTGGCCAATATAAGAAACAAGCTTCGCTAATGATTAGTAATCATTAATTTTTTAATAGCGGAGTTGCAGAGTTTGCGGAGTTTGCCCACCTATTCTATAGAACATCCACCAACACTATTATATAAGTATATTACAAAAGGGCGGGTTTAGGTAACTGGATCTCACGGCCAAAACACATGATTTGTTATCGTTATTACTAGATTGTCTTTCAATCAATAAATTACTTTTCCATCACGACATACCCATTCCAAAAATATTTTATTGGCTAAAAATAGTGTTAAATCAAAAATCTGAAATACTTTACAAAAATCTGTCAAAATTGAACTTGCTAAATTAAGCAAGTTAACAGTGCTGATAATGTACTATTGAAATACAAGTTTTTGCAAATATAAGCACTTTATTAGCTTTTTATTATTATAATTTAATTTTATAAATATATTTGTCAATTATTATGCTAATAAAATGCCAATATTAGAAATATATTATCAATATTTAAGTAATAATAAGGGCCTAAAAATTACCATTATTTAACTAATTTATTAGATATTTAAAGGTGCTGATAATGAAATAATCTTATAATAAATTATTAAAATTGCTAACATAGTACTAATAATGCACTATATATTGCTTATTATTGGCAAATAATTGCATATCTCGAAATTGTCAAATTTTGTAAAGTAGTAGTGTAGATATTATAATCTTGCGTAGACTAAGAAATGGAATGTATAAACCGTATAGTTCACTATCTAATGTATCTAATGTATGCTCTCTGAAATCGTCCCTAAATAAAGAATACACAGATATACTCTTTTATATAATAAATGCCTAGCAATAATAAAATACGAGTTCCCTTATTTTTCATCAAGCTCCGCATCTTTCTCACGTCAACATTGGAGTTAAACTCGGCATGATTGATGGAAGCCCTCCCATATGATGGTGACACTAAGAACATTTTTCACTTAATGGACGGCTGCGATTTCATTAGTAAAATTTTAGGTAACTTCGGCCTAAGTTTTTGATAGTCGCCCTTAGCTAACCAAAATCAAGAATCTGCCGTGGCGGCAGCTAGATCCAATAATCCCCCACACCAGTTCAGCTCTCAATTCGCGACCAGCCTACTATTTTTAAATTATGGCTACTAAACATAAATAACACAAGGTTATGTTGAAAGTCAGCCTGCATTGTGCGAATTAGTGCTGGCCGGTGGCTTCTCGCCCGCACAACTCAACTGCTTATGGTGATCCCCAGCGCAATATTTATTGCATCCCTCGTTTCAGTGTCAACAATAATAAAGCATTTCTAACGTAAACCGCAATTATTAAACAAAATTCAACTCAATGTCGGACCAGATAAACATACGTGCAATATTTTTTGTTATTAATTAACGTAATATCATATATTCGAGTTTTTTCGATACTTGCATAATTCAAATTATTATACAGTGTTTAAAATTCAATGTTCTCAGTATTTTCTGAGAACACTTAAAAATGGTTATGGTCATAAATTATTGGAAAATGTTCTCTATTTGAGAACATTTAACAAATTTTTTTAATATTAAAAAATTTTTAGCTTTATAATATTGAGAACATCAAAAAATTTTTGAGAACATTAAGAATTCAAAAAATGCTTTTTTGAGAACATAAAAGTAAATTTGAATTTTAAACACTGATTATACATAATTATGAGCACATGATCTTATTGATATCATTGGACAATATAAAAAATTTGACCAAAATTGACAATAGGGGCGCCACCGGCGCTTATATGTAGTAAAATTAATATTTTTGTCGAAAGTGGTTCCTTATCAAAACAAACATTTGTTTAGAGTTTTTATAATCATGTTACATTATACTTTATCGTGATTTCCTATTGGTTAAGTTGTTATCGGTCATCACGTGGAGAGATGGCAGGCCAATCATATTATTTTCATGTGACTTTTGACGGTCAAAATGTTTTACGAAAAATTTATGTATACCTGACCCTAACTAATTATCACGTGATATGCACTACTGTCCATTGATTTTCCGCTACATCTTTAGAGTAAATATATTGGTAAATAACAAGCTCTAGATTTATAATAGGTACATGCAAAATCACGTAAATTGGTATTTGTCCGTAGACTATCTGCATCATCGTACATCCCGAGCTCAACTCTGATGGTTGACGTAAGAGATGATGCAGGAGCCTAATAATAAAATGGGCAAGGCCAGACCAATTTAATTCGGTGGTTTACATTACTCCCCTTCTGCCTCCCCCCTCACTATATGTGCGGAAAATTTCGGAAAACTTTTATAATATCGCGGATCATTTCGGAAGAAAAATTTATAATAAACTCCGCCCCCCCACTTTTGTGAGAAGGATGTAATGTAAACCACCGAATTAAATTGGTCTGGCCTAACTCGTATTTTAGGGACGATTTCAGAGAGCATGCATTGAATAATGAACTAAGGGCGAGAACATATATACTAATTTCTTACAATGTTAACACTAAGATTGTAGTGTCTACGCTACTAGAACTAACTTCCACATGCTTTCCCACAACCCTATCAGGCTTATTCAACCGCATACGCGAATAGGAAATTCACAAGGGTTAAGCCACTAAGAATACATAATGATGCTTAATACTATAAAGGTAGGATTAGCATTGTTATGGAGGTACAAATATGGAGAATAAATAACATCTTAATGATGATACATATATGGAAGTGCGATTTATAGAACAAAATTATCTGTTACAATACCACAGGTTGTGATACGTAAATAACATGACCTTTATTTAATTTTGTCAACTTGACAAATTAATATTTCATTTTTCTAAAAAATAAATTTACTTTAAATGAAAATTAGTGGGTTCGTTATTTAAAAATCTTTTAAAATTTTATTATATCGAAAGTGAATTTTACTAATACTACTAAGGTTGCTTAATAGATAATACTAAGATCCATAGCAGAGGTAAAGCAAACGTAAGCTTCTTAAAAAAGTTATCATTTGTACACCGGATTACAACGGATCTACAATAATGGGACGGTCCCTCAAAATATCAGTACCATTACTAATATATAAAATGTTTGGGCGGGCAATTTCCCTTTTAGGAATTAATACCAGGAGCGGAGTGAGCATAGCACATATAGTGTATCAATAACTGGAAAATGAACAATATTACGACCGGGGGGAGAGACTTTATATCCACTGAGCCAATTTAGCTTAGGATCGTAAGCATTAATATGACTAACACAAGGCACCAAAATGTACAAATATTCCAAGCAATATAAGTAAGCATCTTATTAATATGGGGTCTTTGCCTTGAAAAACAAATATGGAACATATAATTTACTATGTTCCATAACTTGATTTTCAAGGCAAAGACCCCATATATTCCAACAAATGCACCCAGTACACTATTGTCCTTCCAAATATTCCTTATTCCAACTCAAAGACAACATGAACTTATTATCCAACCTTCTAAACTCTAAAATCCTAACTTCCAAAATCTAACCTTCTCCTATTTACAAGAATATTGTTTTATATATATCTACTATTAGACACTAAATAAGCTATATACTATTTACTGTAGTATAACAATATAAGTATACTCTACTATAAACTTTGCATAAACTATGATAATTTTACACAACAAAAGTATAATCGTTCCACAAAGAAAGTTTAATTATTTATTATGTTACGTTATTTTGCGTACCAACAACCAAACAAATGAGTTGCCAATAAGTCGTAACTGTCAAATATAGAATAGGCTATTTATTTAAAATTATACGTATGTGATTTTAAACTTATGCGTGTAATGGTTTTTTTCGTTAATACTTTGATAACGACTCCTCTTCTTTAGGGTCTTGATATTGTTCTTGATCTTGTATCAATAATCATTGCATATATTCTGTTAATTTTATTATTTCTAGTTCAATATTTTGATTTTTTTTGATATATAATCATTTAGCATCTACTCGGTTTTCAATAGATGTATATAGCTCTTTTAACGGCTCCACAGTTATTTACTTTTGCAACACTATAGTGGCATAATATAATTATAAGATCGTGTAACGTGTAAATATAAATTGGTGTAAAAAATGATTTTTTTTTATTAAAGTAAAAAAATTTAATTCTTTTATTATTGGGTAAGGGCGAGGTTTTGATATTGGGGTTATACAAACGTTATAGTAAAATTTTACAAGAATTTTTTTGTTAGGGTCCAGAAGGTGATTTCTTAAACAAAACTTTGAGATATAATTGATGTTTTAAAAATTCTTTGTTTTTGTTACAGGAAGCCGATCTACACGTTACACCTGATCTCAAATTTTGATTGGCTATAAGTCATAGTAAAAACGAGTACGTACGTAATATAGTTTCTAGAAATATAGATGCTTTTTTGATCATGGTATCACATTTGGGTGACGTCAATGGAATTCCAGACTTCGACTTTTATTATTTGTGTTATTTACTGAACTCAGCCCTGATCAGGAACGTATATAATACGTAAGTAAATTTAATTACGTATCATGTGTCGCCGTCAGAGCTGAATCCGGTAAATAATAAATCATTAGCCTGACAGCTGAAGCCTGGTGCTCCTTTAGTGTCATTCACTTTATATCACACTAAAAATGATCCCGATAAGCTTATACATCACAAGCGAATTTTTACTATTTATCATGACTGTCATCTTTACAAGGCACTTTTGAGATACGTTAAATATGCTTATGCACCAAGTTTATCACATGCAAATATAACTTTATTAATAAATATTATATATAGATACACTGCTTTGTAGGTATAAAATTTATTCTTTTTAAATAAAGAACATTTCTAATCTGCTCTAAGACCAAACACATGCTCTCTCGTTTATTTATGTTCTAATAACTAAATATACAGTAATAAACTATTGCAAAGTCCTGTGTCCTTGAGTTTATATAACTCCCGTATTAGTGATCCCCGATTTTAGAGGTATTGCAGGTTATTATAGCTTTGTCCTTTTGGCACGCATACATGTAACACTTTGAATGATCATATGCTAAACCAAAGTGTGTACGTACGTACGTGCGTACAAGTTGTATTAATTTCTTAAAAACCATCAAATTATTAACGGTACTAAATCATGATAAATATAAAGATATAACATTAAGAATGTCAATTTGTGTGACAAAACAAATGCTAGAAAAGATAAAAGGAATCATTTATACATTATTTTTCAATGTCCACTATTTTAATATGGATCGGCTTTATGGTATTCTCTTTTTTGTTGTATTTAGCGCAGTATGCACCTTTGTTAATTGTCAGGACATTCCTAACGCTTTAAGTGCGCAGGCTAGTTCATTAGTTGGTAATAGACTTTATTTTTTTGGTGGTGTAATATCGCCACAAACAGTTGCATCTTATGAAGTCTGGTATCTTGATTTATCAAAATCATTTAATGTTTCTGTGCCTCCATGGAATAAAGATACTGGAATGCCAGTAGGATATGCCTTTGGTAGCTCATGTGTTAGCTCTATTGATAATTCCACTGTTTATTTAGTTGGTGGAAGGACATATGTCTCAAACACCGCAAATTATATAAATGCTTCATCAGTATATGTATTTAATACTAGTACTTCACAATGGTCCACACCAAGTATAAATAGTTTTAATTCTAGCTTCGTAACACGTAATGAAATGCAAGCTATTATTGATAATAACGGAAAGATTTTTGTTTTTGGCGGTGTAAATTTTAATAGTACTGTACGCACTTATTATAACGATATGAACATACTTGATATCACTACCATGACTTGGTCTACACAAATTCAATCCCAATCACTTTTTTATGCTGGCTATACTGCTACATTATTAACAAATGGTCTTATTGTTTATGTTGGTGGAAGTTCAGGTTCAAGCTCAGCTACTTATGCAGTTAATACAACTCAGGTATAATTTGGTTACTAATTTTTCATCATTTCTTTTCTTAATCTTCAAAATTTTAAAGTTTTGATTAATTGCAGATTCAAGTATTTGATACAAAATCTTATAGCTGGTCTACTAAAGTAATGTACAAAATTAATTTATTGTTGCTAATAATTATTAAACACAGTATTTAAATTTATTATATTTTTATTTCCCTATTTAGACTACCAGTAGTTCTGTTGTCTCCTCTCGTAGTGGACATTCTGCTGTTTTAAGTATGTTATACATGATAGTTTTATATAAATATTGATATCTACTTTTGCTAAATATTTTGATTAAGTATTGTCATCCAAATTTCCTGACAGCTCCTGATGGATATATTATTATATATGGTGGCTTTTCAATAGATAATAATGGCAAACTCCTTAATGTGCTTTCTGATGTCTCAGTATTGAATTCAAATGCCTGGGTGTGGTCTACTCCAAATATTTCTGGATCGAATGCTCCTGCACTTGCTTATCATTCTGCTGCATTATACAAAAATTTTATGATTATTGCATTCGGTAATTGTTTTAATTTTATTCTCACTTGATGAAAATTAAAATTGAAATTATTACACTAAATTTATTTAATCTTTACATATTTAGGCCAAGTTTCAATTTCAACTGAAGCTTCAAATAAAATTTATGTTCTTGACATACAAAATTATGCCTGGGTTACTACTTATTCACCTACATCAACTACTTCATCTGCTACACCACAGCAGATTACTACTCTTGATAACAGAGTGTATATTGGAATTGGTGTTGGCTTGGGTATACTTCTTATAATTATAATAGTTGTTGTTGGAATTTGTATATATAGGCGTGAAAGATCTGAGCCAACAACGATTGAGCAATTGTCTAGGATTTATGACTAGAGTTGAATATACTACGAATTTTCAGAATCCAGAATATGATACGTAAAGGTTTTGAATTATTCTGCTCCAAACGCTTAACAATAATAATTGACCTATTTATAAGCGAATAAAAGATTTACTATTTTATGCATTTTCTATACTTTAGGTAGTAATTATTAATTATTCATTATCATTCAAATAGAATGAATTTTGAACAGATTCCTATTATAACAGTATAATCTTGCGTCCTGTACGTTGAAATTTTGACAAGTTATTTTATATGTTCTAAAATTTGTGCTGTATAAGTTCTTAAATATTCAGAAAGGTTTTTTTTACGTTATCCAAAAAAGAATTTATAATAAATATGTAATATAGTAAAAACTGAGATTGTAAGTGCAGTTCGTAAAAGAAATTTTTTAGTTCAAAGAAGGTTTACCTACAACCAATCCTTACCCAATACAAAAAAGAATGTATTAGCACTTATCTAACCTTACATCAATCTTGCTAACCAGGGTTGGCTAATGGACCAAAAATGTGGCTTAGTAACCACCGATAAACTATGTTCATTGACAGAGCATATCATAATCCATAGCTAACCCTGTAAATAACCATACCATTGTTACTATCATAACTTTCTGCGCTCCAATATTACATATTTTTTAATTCTTTATTATTATTTCCTTATTTGTATTATTTTCCATTAGTATAGATTTCTCTTCTAATCATGTATTATTATCATCACTACCCTCCGCAAATATTATGATTATCATTTAATTGTATCACCGGGATGATCTTTAGCCTATGATTGATCCACATTGCTCCTATTTTAGTAACCGATAGACCATCACTTGTATTTCTTAATTAAGAGACGAGTTAGGCGGCATCCACAATTTATATTAAATCAATATTGTTATAAGAATCTTAAAAATAATACAAACATATGGCCTCACCATTAACATTAAAAAAATAATAATAATACAAACATAATATCATATGGCATTATTTTCAAGGCCTTATTTTTATATAATACACTATTGGTTCGCTTTAAAGGATGTCGCGACGTTGGGGTGTTCGATGCAAAATGTAAATCAAGTCTATATGTACAGTACGTAGTCCTATGTGAAAATCATTAGTTAAATTACTTCGGCAATTGTATAGTTTCGATAAATTTCAGTCTTTTTATTATTTTCAGGTTATGAAAAAAAGCTTTCTATTACGTTAAATATGCTATCCACTAAACGAAATTTCTAAATAGATTAATATATAGAATATTGTAACTATTATTCGGGAGAGAAATAAAACTAAACCGACTTATACTCTAATAGTTACTGGGAGA